CGATAACATCACAAATTTCGGTATCTATGATGTAATCACCTACTGAAAAAGGCGATGACATCAGATCAAGTAGGCACACCATTTGCAGCTCTGGTATAAAATGAAACCTTTCAGGTTTGCTGTTACAGGAAACCTCTTGCATGGGTCCTCTTATTGCAGCCAGCGATCACACATTCACAAGACCTCATTGCACAAATGCCTACCCAATAGCTATCTAGTTTCACGATGCCTACAGCCCCACAGAAACAGACAAACGGCAAAGAAATGGTCACAACAGGGCGCTGACTACGAACTAAAGTTCATTGGTTAAACCACACTGGTACAACGCGTACAACTGTAGCGATAAGAAAGCTACATGAATTTGTCCAGAGTTCCATCTTACGGAGCCATTTAGTCTCTAATGGCTGCTCCAAACATTTTAACAAAGCGAAGAGTCAATGCATTGGATAATTTTAATCCTTCATTCAATGCATGTTATTAATAATATCTGGGGTTTTATGCCCCAAAACCAACATATTGTCCCGACGAGAAAATAACAGGATACAGGATGACGGTGCGACCAGGAAAAACAAGGTCTGTATTAACAGAACAAAAGAGCAGCCCCTTCGGCGGCGTCTTCCTCGGAGCAACCGTGGGTGCTGTCCACGCTGATCACTTCGTCGTCCCCTGTCTTCTTACCCGGCCTTTATCCGTGACATTATTAGCCGTAACATTAGCCTCCCATTCAAAAAAGCATCGTCCCGATGCTTTATGATCAAAGTGGTTTGTACTCGTTGGAAACGCATGAGTTTATTCGGAGAAGTAAGGTTTCATCCAAACAACGTGCACAACTTCTGGAGCACACCTTCGACGCCTTAAGGAGTACGCAGTTTCAGGAACAACCTCATAATTAATGTCACTAAGACGTCATAGAACTTTATAAGGCCCGAAGTACCGTCTTAACAATTTTTCTGAGAGGCCACGGCGCCGAATAGGAATCCATATCCAAACTTTCTCTCCTGGCTCGTATGAGATTAGTCGGTGACGAAGGTTGTACTGTCTTGAATCGTAGTCCTGCTGGCGACTAATACGTAAGCGTGCAAGTTGTCGGGTTTCTTCGGCAAGCTGGGTGATATAATCAGCATCCGTTTGGACGTTTTCGCACTCGTGCGGCACCATGGCATCCAGCATAGTGGTGACTTCACGACCATGAAGAAGGCGGAATGGCGTTGTTCTTGTTGTTTCTTGATGAGCCGTGTTATAGGCGAACGTGACGTACGGCAAGATCTCGTCCCAGTTTTTATGCTTCACATCAACGTACATGCAGAGCATATCCGCAAGTGTCTTGTTGAAATGCTCCGTAAGACCACTAAGTCTTAAAACCGTCTGTAATAGTTCGGCTGCGAATGAAGTTCCCCTGTCAGTTATTACCACTGACGAAGCGCCATGCCTCAGCACCACATTCTCCACGAAAAATCGGGCTGTTTCACTTGCCGTGTCCCTCTCCAGAGTCCTGGTTTCGGCGTAACGAGTGAGGTAGTCGGTGGCTACTATAATCCATTTGCGACCTGCCGATGAGGTGGGAAATTGGCCCAAAAGATCCATTCCGACTTGAGGGAATGGAGTAACAGGCACGTCAATAGGATGGAGGAGGCCTGCTGGTTTGACGGGTGGGACTTTTCTGCGCTGGCAATCAAGGCTAGTCCGAACATAGTGTTGAACGGTCACCGTCAGTGTTGGCCAGTAGTATTTCTGCCTCACTCTGCACAGCGTACGCGTGTAACCCAAGTGGACGGATGTTGGCTCATCGTGGCATGTCTGTAATACTTAACTCCTTAGAGATGTTGTCACGATGAGTAAGTAGTCATTTCCGTGTGACGTGAAGTTCATCTTATACAAGACGTCGTTGCGCAAGCGAAATGTCGAAAGCCCTCTCGCAAACAGTCTAGGTACAGCTGAAGTGCGACCCTCCAAAAAGCGAAATATGAGTTCTAGTTCCGGGTCGTCTCGTTGCAGCTGTGCGACAGTATTCATGTTTACAACTCCGACAAAGGCTGTATCGTCATCTTCTGCCGTTGCAGGTTCGTATGGCGCACGAGAAAGACAATCGGCGTCTGAATGTCGCTTCCCGATCTGTAGACCACCGTCATGTCAAATTCTTGAACCTTCAGGCTCCAGCGCGCCAATCGTCCTAAAGGGTCTTTTAAATTTGTCAGCCAGCAGAGGGAGTAATGGTCGCTGACAGCATTAAAAGGACGACCATACAAATATGGGCGGAATTTCATAACTACCCACACTACCGCAAGACACTCTTTTTCCGTGGTTAAATAAGTTTCTTCCGCATGTGAAGAGTTCTACTCGCGTAATCAATTACTTGTTCAGCACCATCCTGCCACTGCACGAGTACAGCTCCTAAGCCGACATTGCTAGCGTCGGTGTGCATTGTTGTCGGGGCGTCATCATCAAAGTGTGCGAGGACTGGTGTCTTCTGAAGGTGTTTCCGCAGCTCGTCGAATGATTTTTGCTGTTCTTCATTCCATACAAATGCGACGTCTTCTCTGGTAAGGCGGGTCAACGACGAGGCATTGAGGCTTCATTGAGAAGTTCTCAATGAAGCGTCGGTAATGCGCACACAGTCCTAAAAACCGTCTGACCGCCATTTTGTCAATTGGCGCTGGAAAATTCGTCACCTATTTTTTCAGGGTCAGGCCGCACACCTTCACTGCTGACAAGATGCCCCAGGAACAGAAGCTCTTCGAAGCCGAAATGGCATTTTTCTGGCTTAAGTGTTAGTCCGGCGGAACGGATAGCTTGAAATACTGAATGCAGTCGCTCGACGTGTTCGTCGAATGTGGCAGAAAATACGACGACGTCATCTAAATACACTAAGCACGTCTGCCACTTAAGTCCTGATATACAGTATCCATTAGCCGCTGAAACGTTGCCGGTGCTGAGCACAAGCCAAATGAAAGTACCTTAAATTCAAAAAGGACATCAGGTGTCACAAAAGCTGTTTTCTCCGGTCTCTTTCATCGACTTCTATCTGCCAATACCCACTCCTTAGATCCATCGACGAGAAATAATGCGCATGCCGTAGTCGATCGAGTGAATTGTCGATACGCGTAAGTGGGTAGACGTCTTTTTTTGTCACCTGAATCAGCTTGCGGTAATCCCCGCAGAAACGTAAGGTGCCGTCTTTTTTCATCACTAATACAAACGGCGAAGCCCAAGAGCTTTTTGACAGCTGAATAACGTCATCTTCAACCATCTGTCCCATCTGGTTTTCGATGGCTTCACGTTCCAGCGGAGCTACCCGGTAGGGGTTTTGCCTGATGGGTCTGGTCATGTCGTCCGTAATAATTCGATGTTTCGTCAGAGGCGTTTGATGGACCCCGGACGTCGAAGAGAAACAATCTTCAAACTGGTTTTAATAAGCTTCAGGATACTTTGCTTCTGCGCCGGCAGCAAACTTGGGCCAATATCAACAGATAGAGGTACGGGGGGCAGATCAGTTGAATTATCTTTCTCACGAGTTAGGCAGTCTGTCATCTCAGCGAGCTCTTTCATGTACGCGACTGCCATGCCCCTCATCAGATGTTGGCGTTCAGAGCTGAATTTCGTAACAAGGACGTGCGTGTGTCCGCATTTTATGCTCACGACACCTCTTGCGATAGATAAACCATGGCTGTTCTCAGAATTGCTTGACGTGTCACATGTCACAGCCACGAGTGCACTCGACCGCGGCGGGATGGTCACGTCCTCATCGAAGACGCGCAAAGGTTTACGTCGCTGGTCTGTGCAGGGCCCATCCGAAACTTGACCTGGGGACATTATTAGCTGTGACAATATGATCGCAAGAGACACCGTGGAAGAGGGCTCCAGAAATTTCGACCATCCAGTGTTCTTTACGTGCACTGACATCGCACAGTACACGGGCTTCTACCATTTCGCCTGCACTAAAATGCTACCACCGCGCTTGAGATGGAACTTGTGACCTTCATGTGAGCAGCCGAGCACCTTAACCACTGCTCCGCCGCAGCGGACCATTTAACGCATGCTGCCAGAGAGTATGAACAGAGCATGGAGGATAATGGGGAGAAAACGAGGGTAGCGATAAAACTGACACGACAAATAGTGGTACCTATGAGCCAGCGGGAGGAGGCCAGATGCTGGATCACGTGACCAATGCCTGAGCAGTATTGGCAACATTTTGTTACCTAACTGTATTTTTTAATGTGAATGTATTTCTTAGTCGGGCTATGTCAGGCATCTGTCAAGATCCGTCCACTGCCCTCTCACATAGCAAAACTTTGGGCGGCGCGTCCCTAGCAACCGGAGCCCCCACCATGTCACGCTTCGGCGTCGGTAGCTGTCAGCCACAGCTACGGGCGAGCGCACTTATCCTCACCCCTAGCAACTAGAACCCCACCTCCTTGTCTTGAACGTGACTTGCCACCGCCTCAGTGCCACCACAGAGCCGAGACCGCTATTTGTTTTCTTCACTTCATAGTATTTTTTAACCGTGCACATTAGGTACTAGAGCTGCAAATGTCTACCGCGTTTCTCGCGACAGAAAAACGCCACGTGCGGCAAACGGCGCTGTTGGCTGCACGGTGTAAAAAAAAGAAAAACATTATTCATCTAACGCTGGTTTCTCATGTGTGAAACACCCTTATGGCCGCTACATAGTGCACTTGCTCACGATTTCCTTTGGGGGTGGGGTTATTTTTTTTTTTTATTGGAACACTTCGTTTTTTGGTAACAGGTTGATCATATATCTCAATTCAATCCAACACAGGCGTCAATTTGCTTGCAGCTAGTTTGAGAGCAACTCATGCTTGAGCCGCCTTTCAGGTATACAGGTGTGGGTTAATTTGAAAAATATCCCTACTAAATAAGAACCGCAGCCGTTAGATTTAGAGACGTGAATTTAGCACCACCCTATCAGACCCGATATTCTGAGTTCTCAATATTTGCACAACCCCGAAATGTTTCCAACTTGCCCAAAGACAAGCACGCACCATCGGCCGTGATGTAACTGTTGGGAAAAGACTTGTCTGTTCGCTCCCGAAGCATGACCCAGTTGCCACTTTCAACCCTGCACTCGATAATCTTGTTGTCCATGTTCCGTAACTGCTTGTTGACCTGCAACACAAAACACAGCTGTTTACGAGATCCTGTCACAACAGCAATTCTTTACAACACAGTCGCACACAGGTAAAACAATGTTGTATTCAACTCAAACGGCCTTCCTTGCAGTGCTCGATTTTTCTGATGTGCTTGATAGGCTGCGGTTCATCTTTCTCACATGCTGCTAACGTTTTTCATTTCTTCCATATAGTGAAGAAACGTAAGACAAAAGCCGAAATTTTAGGATGCCACATAGTTTGTCTTTCGATTTTTTTAAGGACTGATATGTCAGCTCTGCGAAGCAACCATGGCAACTGCAAATGAAGATGCTGGCATTCAGTTATTCGATTTTTTTTATGTTGCCAATGCTTACGATTTCATTGCCAGGCCAATGCCCCGAATGTCTTAGCAACGCACAGCTGAAATAAAATAGTGGCACATTTGACTGGTTCTTACTCATGCTGTAGCAATGCCTCCCAGCACTTGAGCCACTTCTAAACAGCCAGAGCTAAATATTCGCTTAAAGGGCAACCGCAAGTGACAAGCGACCAAGAATATCTCGATTGGAATCGCACTTCCAGCTCAAAGGTGACAGCATCTTAAAGGGACACTAAAGAGAAACAGTGACTTCATTTAGACTGAGAAACTGCACTCTGAGAACTCTAACGACATAGGTTCCACCATCACAAGTTTACCATTTGCAGAGAAAATCAAGGTGAAAGTTTCATTTTTTTTTTTTAATTCTGCATCGAAATTTTTCCCTGAGGTGTCAGAAATCGAAAAATGTATTTGTCGTATTCTCGCGACATTGACTAGACGAAATTTTCTGAAATTTAGTGTGCTAGTTATTTGGCGCCCACAGATTACAATGCAGGTGCGTAGCCAGTAATTTTTGGGGGAAAGGGGGGCGGGGGCACCACTATGATTTCGGGAGGGGCACCCCCTTGAAATGGCCAATTTTGGCTCTCTATGCCATGGCAAAAAAAAAAAAATGTGGGGGGGAGTGAGGGCATGTGCTCGGTGTGCCACTTCTTGGCTACGCCCCTGTTACAATGTACTTTATCTTTACTGATTAGAAGCTACGTAAGACCCAGTAGACACCTTCAAAATCTATGACGTCACGATGTCACTTGCGGGAACCTCAAAGTGGCGTCTTTATCTGTTTTTTTTTTTTTTCCTTTTTACGTGTTTTGTCACCTGCTACGCATCATGTCATGGCAACAGTCTTGTTTTCAGTATTGTGACATCGCACTTTACTAATACATGCATAATCATTTTTTGTGTTCATGCAAGTGCTACAAGATAAACAGCTTCAAGTAACCTGACTATGAAAGAGGCACTGCACATTTGTTGTAGAGCCAGACAGATTAGGATTTGGCTGACAACTGGATGTGAACTGAAAAACCATTCATAGGAGACATCTAAGTACTTGATTTTGACAAGCGAGCTAACCCAACAACCAAATCATTCTAGACTGCTCAAACGCAAGAAGTCCCCATAGGAGACATCTAAGTACTTGATTTTGACAAGTGAGCTAACGCAACAACCAAATCATTCTAGACTGCTCAAACGCAAGAAGTCCCCAACCAGGTGAAAGAAAGGCACACACCATCGGCTGTGGTGTAACTGTTGGGAAAAAAAAAAAAAAGACTGGTCTCAAAACTGCAACATTTTATGGTCCGACTTGCAAATAATAAAAATTCAAGAGGCCTAACCAGATGCCGTCGATATACATGATGCTACAATGAGCTCATGCAATGCTTAGATATGACATCTTACTCTAGAAGCATTACATTGTATTACAGTCGATGCCGGATATATCGAACTCGAAGAGGAGCACAAAATAGTTCGATATATGGATAATTCTAAATATAATTCACATAAAAAACTTCTTTCTCTTGTCCCTCATTATTGGCGCTGTTTTTTATGTGAATCATGTCGTACCAACTCGCCCAAGCAACCAGGTTATCTAAATATAAAATATGTGCATTTAAAGGAGCACTGACATCAAATTTCAAGATCGAGATGTGCCCGTCATTCAATCGCTTGGTATGCATAGGTCTTCTTGGCCAAATTTGAACGGCATCCGTCGCATGGAAGTTATTTTAATTCGATGTCAAACAGTGTAGAAAAGCTAAGGAGAAAAAATGATAAATAAGACTGCCCTGCGACATCAACACTAGTGCTACGTGTTCGGTGTGATACATTCCACAAATACCATCCTGAGTGACGATGCCCTAGTAGCAATGACGCGTACGATTCGGGTGTTCTTATCGTGGCGCCGACTGGTGCCGAAGTGCAGAAACACACTCGCTCGACCACTGCCGGGCAAGGGCCGGGCTAGCCCGCGCAGATGCAGTCTAGCCAGGCCAGGTTCGTCGCCTCTGATCTTCATCGCACCGGTTTGAATGATTTCGTGCAATTATCAAGATAAAAATTACCTTTAAAAGAATGGCAAAAGAAAAGACCATGCCTAAACGTTTGCTTCTCGGTCAGCATGTCGGGGAATCGTTGTGAGTTGCAGGTGAGTTGCAGTCGTCTAGTTCGAAGCACGGAAAAAGCGCAATGAGGATGTCTTTTCATATCACGTATGTGTTACACATCAGCACGACCACAAGTTATAAAACTGGAAGAGCGTGTAGTCAGATATCATCGCTAACAAGTAACACGCAGGTATCGTTGAATTTTGGTTCATGTGTAGACTTTGCGTCCATGTAAAAGTGGTAATACCATGTTAACTGCGAGAGGCTGGATAGGTGGGGCCATCTGGAGGCGCAAAAAAGAACCTGACAAGCAGGAAACGTATTCTATTTCTTTGTTGATGCTCATTCCCGATAGCTATATTGCATTGACCCTTCTGCGTATACCTGAATGCTTCGCACACAAAAACACACCAAAATAGCTGAGACACACAAGCGAACATGGCTGAAGCGTGAATCGTCGGGCACCTCTGCAATGCTGCTTAGAACGGCGTCCATTTCGAAATCACTGTTCTGCAAAAGGTCGATCGAATCGAAAATAATTCGCGACGTCGCGAATCGCGGGGATTCCAAGCTCCAGACTGTCGTATTGAACCCGAGTCGACACTTTGTACGGCGCCGACAGCAATGCAGCTGACAAGGCATGACTGCATGAGTCCGCCTAGCAGACGAAATGTTTGTGGAACAGCTGAGCCTGACGTCACTCTTTTCTGTAGAGAAGTGGTCAACTGTGGCGTGATCTGGAGGTGACCGCGAGGTAGCGCCACTACTGGTGCTCCTAGTGCTGAAGATGGCAAGATTACCGGCCGTTTTTGAATAGTGCTGGATCCCAATAATATAAATCAATAAAAGAGATAGTTATTCATCCCCCAGTTGCGTTTTAGGTCGTGAATCATTGCTAAGGGGTCTATAGCTACTCGCTGACGCAAAAATCTAGGCATGAGTAAATTTGATGTCAGCGCTCCTTTAAAGCCCAAATTAAAACATTTCAGGCTTCGGAAATAGTTACAAGCACTAACATAACGATTCGCTCACAGTATAATCAAGAATCAAGGTGTGATCAAGAACAAGGTGTGAACTGCAAGTTATCGTACTTTATTCTGAATGAAAATAGTTCGCAAACTTTTCTTGTTTTTTGCACGGCAACAAGTTCCAGTCATCCTCAATGTCACTGAAGCTTTTCAAATAAGAGAATTTAGCTCCTTTGGCCACAACAGCATTGATTGATGCAGAATGCCAATGCAAGCTTTGTAGCGCAGCAAAGGTTGGTTAGCGGCGGCAGCGAAGGTGTTGGCATATGTATAGCCGCACGGATACACTTCCGTGGCACCAGCAACAGCAGCCATGATATCAGCATCGAGGTAGTCAGAAAAGGCTACGTCGTCATCTGCACCAATGAAGTTGCACACTGTCTGAGATGGTTGCGGAAACGCTGCATCGCAGAATTCAACGAGGCACTGTACACCGTTGTCAGTGTTCATGACGCACCCGAAGTCGTCTCCCGGTCCACAAGGAACGTTTCCAATGATGCATTACTTGAAGTCGCTCTAAGCACCAGGGGTAATTTTTATCACAACGTGCGGGTCAACGTTCAGTTCAACTCCTGAATGAGGATTAATCAGGAATGAGGCGAGAAGCAAACAAGTCCAGAAGGCGCAAAGGCAACGCCGAGTTCAGCGAGTTCCCACCGTCGGCATGTTGGCGATATCGAAGTCACTTAAGGCTTTTGCATCTGGCAGCCGCTGCTTTCAGCTGCTTTGATGCGAAAAACTAGAGACAGCGTAGCCTCCAAGACATGCGTTCTAAAACCGATAACGCTGAAAATACGTCACGAGAATCTCGAAGAACATGCTTTTCAAGCTCGCATGCCACTATGCGCCAGCAAACAAGGGAATGCGAACATTGCAGCAAGATCGCCGAGTCCCTTCGCATTGTCATCTTGGTGTCCTCATCAATCAGTCTTTTTGAAAAACACTATGTCCGCGCTTTAGGACCTGCAAATTCTGGATCAAGTATACCAGCGTGCTCGTAAGTACCGCGCAACGAATCTGATCAGCGCTATGAAATAACACCACCCTTTCGTCGCCTGTGCTCGCAAAGGGATCAGAACTTGTTATAACGCGGCCGAAAATTGATCAATATTTGCTAGGAAAAATGCCCTTTCTGGGCTTCGGCGCAGTGCAGCGTTCTATGTAGTGGATGTACCGCTGTGCGAGAGTTCGAGATATATGGGTGCACTGGACTTACACTTTTGCATGAAAGACTTAACGGTATTTCTCAACTGTTCGATATACGGCCAATAGTTTGATATATCAGGGTTTGATATATCAGGGACATATCAGGATCGACAATCTCAATGATCTTTTTTCTTCTTGGTGGTCCTTTAAAGATATGGACAATGCTAGATGGCTATCACTCTGAATTTCATCGATGCACTTTGCAAACAAACCAAAGGAGTTAACTACCATGCATTTTCACTGCCTGTAATACACTCAGACCTCAATATAACAAACCTGCATATAACAAACTATTGGTACTAACAAAATAAATGAAAATAGTCTTGCCATAAATATTGTTGGTTGCTAACAACTTTATTGGTGCTCCAGCAGAGCTTTATTGTTAGGAATTAACTTTTATAAGAAATTCTTGGATACAACAAACTTATTTTCGTGTAATATGCAACTTTGTTATAACGAGGGTCGAGTGTAGAAAGTTGAGCAAAAAGCATACCTTCATCTTTGCGTATGGAAGGTCACAGCCACCCACAAAGAGATGTCCGACTAGCTTGGGTACAATACTGTTGTAGAAGAAAAAAAGAGACAGGGAGAAATAAGTACCAAACACTGCCACAACGTTGAGCAGGAGAAACAAAAGTGTGACTCACCGACACAGAGGAATATTGATACGTTCTCCGGGGCAACCAGGAAATACTTTATATTAACAACTTTATATTATACAAAAATTATATTTAACTACAGAAGTCTAAAAAAAACTGGAAGCTATGCGTACTCTTTCAGAAACTCATTTTTATTGAGCCACATTAAGTGGGTGATCAATTCGGGCTGCACTTGCTTCTTTTCAACACCCAGGAGTAAACTCTTCTGAAAAGGATTCTGAATTCTGAAATTTCTCTTCTGGCACACTGGCTCCACGCTGAACACTGCGGCCGTGCCTTGCAGCGATCTTTTTGCCACAAAACCGACGATGCTGCGGCCCCAGTGACTCTGCCTTGTTTGCATTGTGGCTTGATGGAATGAGATTTGAGCTAATATCATCATCATTGTCAGTTATTCTGCCTGCGCGTTACGTGCCTGGCTTATGCGAATATAAGTGAATAAAACTAATATGCGAAAAAATAAATGTAGGATTTTTTTATATATCAATCTAGATCCATTTTTGCAGTTGCATTATCTAATACGGGGAATGTGATTGCATTAAATGCATAAAACTGTACTACAGTATTTAAAGGTGTACATATTCGCCAGAGATCTGTCCAGCTTGGTACAAATAATACAACTAAAATAAACTCTTGAGGCACTTTCAGTTCAAAATTTCTAATGTTAAAATTCAGAACCAAAAGACTAAAAAAACAACAGGAACTTTGGACTAAAAGAAGCAGGGGAGTTCATTTTATTTGTATGGATTACAGTATTTCTAAGAGACGTTGGCCGAGAATATAAAACGCAATATGTATTCGGCAGAAAAGCATAGTATGCCGAATTGTATCACTGTACTCAAGTTTCCCACCCAACAGGCAATGCTTTAATGGCTATGAATGCACTTTGGTACTGTAATATAAGAATTACATGCTCATCTACTAGTAAGTAATCACGCCACGTGTCCTAAGTGTTACCTAAGGTTGCACGCATCACAGGATGGACTACCAGAGGGTTAGTTTATCTGGTGTGGGCAACTATCCCAATTTATATTGCCGAGAAACGAGTACTTTCATAAAGGCAAGACATCGAACACGCCATCTACAACAACGAAGATGTTTGTTCTTAATGGCCATTAAGTGTTGCCTTAAAGGGACGACCACAAACATTATTTATTTTATTTTTATTTATAAACACTGTCAACCTTCATAGAGGGTCATAACAGGGAGGACATACCTAAAGAATGTACAATGTTCATAAAGTTTCTTAATACCTTGACAACTCACAATGAAAACTGGTATTCTCTTAATTAACAACTGGACATTCAAAATAACAATTCAAGAACAATTCAGAATCCCCAGCCATTTTTAAAAATATTTGTTAAGAACATGAAGTGGCTGACATCACTTGGCACTGAAAAAAAATCTAATTTAACAAACACGTACATGCGCTTCTACAGCATTTTCGAAGTCAGTGACATCTTTTAAAACAACAATTTCGTTCGGCAGTTTGTTCCACATTTCTATGACATCTGGAAAAAAAGAATATAGAAATGTGTCAGTATTTGTTCAGTATGATTTTATGATGCAATCGTGGTTAGCTTGGGATTTCTTTTGCCTGGGAAATGTAAATATTTGAGCTTATCTATCTTCAGTTGATCGTGCATTATTTGGAACAATACTTTCAGCCTATATTTATTTCTTTAGGCATTAGGCTAATAAAGTATCATCCTCCAAAATGCAGTAAAATCTGGTTAATTCGAAGTCACTGGGGTTGCGAAAAATCTTCGCATTAAGTGAGTTTTCAAATCAGGAACATACGGAAAGTGGGATGCGACGAACATGAAGTTATTAAAGTAATCAGGGTAGGTCATTTGCTGTGCCGGCTAGTTCGCCGCTCCAAGGTTTATGTTTTCCAACAATGCCTGGTCTTGATTTTGCAGCAAACACGGGGAACGGTGGGCCTCACGGCTTTCGCCGGAAAAAAGAAAAGAAAAAAAGAAGACACTGTCCTCATTAACTGAAATGCGACCTGCGGAAAACAAGACATCTTCACTGCAGCACAGTAGTGACACACCGTCAGCATGTCATGATGCGACCATTCGCCCATTCTTTCTGATAAAATAATGAAGTAAATAACTGCCACTGTGATGAAATTTCCTACATGGTTTGGCTTGAAAACATGATACTGAAGCTTTCGACGCTGTTTTCGAAGTAGGCATTGCAGGCAAGAACTCCGTCAGCAGTGCAAGTGCACAAATTGCTGGAGGAACCGGCAATCGGAGGTTCACATACATAGGGAGTTCGGCCAGACTGTCCTTTATTCATTTCACTACAATCCCAGAAAGTATGGGCAAATCATGACATGCTGACATTGCGAGAAACATACAATATGCTGCCTGCCCTCACCACTGTGTTGCAGTGAAGCACATTGTGTTTTCCGCAAGCACACGATTCGATTGACCACAAGACCATTTTTCATTTATTTATTTTTTTTTGGTGCGCTGGAAGTAGTGAGGCTGGGGTGCTTCAGCTGCCACTTATTAGTTTCACTGTATTGCATTGCCTTATGGCTCTTAAGGGTTGTCGTTTCCTCGGATCTGCGGTGAAATCGGGATTCGAGAACTGGCACACGGCACCCAAAGCTTTCAAATTAACTGTACTAGTGCTGACCGCTGCTTCAGATTATCCGCTCAGACTTACACTGCAACATATGGGATTACAGAAATATTTTGAATTAAGCAAGATTTCAAAATAACCGAGTTCGGATTAAAAGGTTTTACTGTATAAAGCTTTCTGGTTGGCTCTCTGTTATAATAATCACAATATGCTTCGTTTCTCTTGCCAAAACGTTGGGTGCATCCCTGACTGTCATGCAGTTTACACACTCAAAGTAACATTTTTATATACTAAAAAGCTTTCTACATTGAATGCAGTATTATTATGATTATCATTCGCATAAATAACGATAAATGGTTTTCCCAATCAATGGTGACCTATCGCATAGGAAGTTCCATGCTCAGCAACGTAATTTCACATGTTATATTACAGTTGTATAATAATGCTGCCTTAGGTGTCACACCAGGCAAGGTAGGTAACACATGTAGACACTGTTCATTTTGGTTGATACAGCGCACACGAGTTGACGACAAGAAAAAGAAACGCAGACAGGCACTTTTTCTTCGTCATATTGTGTGCGCTGTATCAACCAAGATGACCGCATACCAACTCGCTGAAGCTTCCATTCTTAGGCACTTTTCATTTGCGAACTTGTTAGACCATCATCGTCATCAACTTTATCTTTGGCCTCCTGTCACAAGTGATGTGTTCACAATTTCAACGTTAACAGCCCACAACAAAACGAGCAGACCGATGGAAGAAATGACACGCACAACACACACTGTTGTGTGCATATTCTTTTCTCTAATCAGTCCGCTCATTTTGCTGAGTGCCATTACATGGAAACTATGAACCGATACAAACTCACCCAAGTTGCCGTTTTACTGAAGTAACGAGTGCCTGTATGTAGTTGTACACATTGCATAGCACACGTTACGAGGTGTCATACCAAGTGAAATGCTTATGGCCGCCTGGAATAAAGCAGCCTACACCTTACAGAGGGCTCAGTTGCGCTTAGTCATCAGCAGCCAGCCACACATTTCCTTGTGGTCTGACATACACGGGACAACTTGGAGTTTTTATAGCAGTGGAATAACGCCATGGTCTTGCTATTATCTTGTTCACATTGTGCCTGTGTTTATGCTCGCATATATGTATTGCACAGGATATAATTTTCAGGTCCCAAGGTGTGTCTGACTAAATATTTTGACAAAGGCAAGTGTATAAAGCCACAAATTTTCACACAGGGTATTTTTAGCAAGCAATAATATAATAATTGTTGGGGTCTAACGTCTCAAAACCACCACATGATTATTAGAGAAGCCTTAGCGGAGGGCTCCGGAAATTTAGGCCACTTGGGGATCTTTAACGAGCGCCTTAATCTAGGTACATGGGCCACAAGCATTTTCGCCTCCATCGAAAATGCGACCACCACAGCCGGATTTCAATCCTGCAACCTGTGAGTGCCTAAATTACTGGACCACTGTGGCGGGTTTCAGCAAGCAACCATCCTCGACCAGCTCCTTTTAAGAAAGTACTCCAGATTACTCTCCTATTCCTATTACTCTCCTATTCAGCTGCACAATGTGCAAAGATCCTCTCCCCCCTCCCCCCCTTTTTTTTCTTCTTCTTACCTTTCATCTTCCCACCAGATACTTATAACATATTCAAAGTTGTACAAAGGAATTGTGGCCAGTCACAGCCATGACACATTTTCTTTGTAACACAAACAATATAACCGTTCATAGGGCACCTTGAATCAACACAAACTGCACTTCGACAGGGCAAGAACCAGTAGCACCTTCTTTGCCTCGATGCATCTCACAAACAAATACCATACATCCTCTTTTTGATTGCTGTGGCTTACTCACCCTGGGCCAGTTTCCTTGATAATCTTTAGCCGAAAGTCGATGGTGTTGAGGTGGGGCGGCTTCCACTTGAGCACATCCATAGCTCGGCCACAGATGTACGGCTGCATGTTGGAACCGCCACCACGTTTAATAATAATGACACCAAAAAAGCAAGAATGATCTTTCAGGGGCAAATGAATTATTTCCACATTTACTGCAGCTGCAGATACATGAAAAACACAGTGGATCAAGAATTTTTACACTTCAGTGACTTTGGTTAGATTTGGGGACCAAGTACAGTCGAGCCAACATAAAACGGCCCCACTTAAAACGAGCTTTTGCAACAAACGATACCCACGAGAAAATGTACATTAATTCAATGGCACAAAATCACACTTAGAACGAATGTCTCTGAGCATCACCAATTGGTAACAGCGAACGAAGTCGGTGCTCTGGCGGCTTCCCGGGAAAGCACATTCGACTACCGGTAAGCTATCAGGGAGGTGCCCATATATTGTTATTGTTAAACACTAACCCTACCTCTGCAACCCTTTAGTTGTCACTTTCCCCACTGTTTTTTTTTTTTGTTACGCACCGCTCTGTCCTTGTCCCCCACTACTCTGAGCCCTCCGTATCGCCAGACAAACCCATGTTTGCCACTGATCTTTCGAATACCGGTCGGCAAACTAATCTCCACACAGTTTTTGACCGCTGGTTTTGTCACACTATCATTGGTTCCGCCGGCCTGGAGTGACCAGACCATTTGCCCGCATCGTCAGCCACCGACTGTACCCGATCATCTGCGCCTGCGTCTTGCCTGGATTGGTGTTGTTTCGTGCACGTGCTTGCGCTACCCCACCGACTTTGATAATTTGCGGTTCGTTCCGTGTTTAGAACCTGTTCTCGCTCGCTTCACACTCCGCTCAGCATGCCTTCCACATGCGTTTAAAAGCGTAAAAACGGCTTTACATGAAACGAATCACGAATTATCGAAGTCGATGGAGCCGCATAAGTCCGCCGGCTCCACAATGCGATTCTTTGACTTGTGCGCAGACCACTCTCCCAAGTTTTCCTATGTGTGAGTTGCGCGTTTCGTGGACCCTGCAAGCAGGTTACCCGAGCTGCCTTCTTGTGTGTTTTGTTTTTCAAGGTCGTCTTCTTGCTGTATGCTCCCCTCTCCACTCTATCGCAACTCCTTCGCAAGTCTCTCTTCTTTTTACTCCAACCCCTTCACCAATCTCCACCGCTCACTGACCACAGTCACACTGGCGCTGCGCCGTGCTCTCTTCAGGGCTGCAAAAATTAGGCGCCTCCTTATTCTTCTAACCACAACCACCACCAATTTGGAAGTTTTTGTTTTCTGACTATACACGGGCACACAGGACCAGAGCAGCTCCACGCGTGCTGGCATCCATGTTGAGCGTAGCACGTCTTGCTCGCTATTAGAGTGCATGTGTGGTCAGGATGGCACACTGGAGGCCTTTCGCACTTTTTTTCCGCAGCTCTAATAGACATTGAAAGTGTGAACGCTTGGCTTAGTCCTAATCCGTGCGTTTAATACTTATTATAGATGCCGCGTTGTGGAGTTATTGCTCATATCTGTTGACCACCCGGCAGACAACTTGCACATCGGGTGTCCATGTATTCAGCTGTGGAGATGGTGAAGGCTTCATGAGCAGCGATGACGGCTACATGTGTGAAAAACTGTTTTCGCAAAACTGACTTCGTCAATGTCAGACAAGATGCCGAGCCTGAAACTTTCGAACAGGACCATTCCGACATGGCAGGGTGTGCGTGACATCTGTCGCGATGATTTCGTTGGGGCGGATAATGATGCCAACACTGCGGAACTGTGCACAGATGAGGGCATTGTGAATGAAGCGCATGGCAATAGCGATTTGGAGGAATCGGATGGTGAGGACGACGAAACTTTGGAGCCCATGCCCACAAGGGCACTTGTAAAAATTGGCTACATTAATAGCCTAAGGCTGCTTGCATTGTCCACAGGCCTCGGCAAAGAGCACGGTGCCACTTTGGATTTTTGGATTTTTTTTTATCCCCATGTGATAGACGCACCACCTACATTCATCCGCTGCAGCACCGCTAACTGACACCTGGCGCCTCCTTACCTGTTGGATCTCTTTCGTTTTTTATCATTATGCCAACCCCCCCTCGGTCCGCTTTGTCCTTCCCCTTTGCCCGTTGCCGTATAGTTCATTTTTTCAATCTGGGCATGTCCCCCACCTTTTTTTTTGCAAAGCATTTCTTAGTGAACTTCGGCAACTTTGATGATGTTTGATGTCTTGTGGCGCAAGGACCATTTCACGGCCCTGGAGCGCCAATTCATCATACTAAAGGTATGGGCAATAATTGTGATAAGCGGCTGTATAAGGGTCATAAATTTCCTCGCGGTAAGGCGGGTAAAAACATACAAGTAATAAAATCATGACCATGCCGTGAAAGGTGCGTGTGGTGTGAGTAGATGACAAAAGTTGGTGATAATAGAAAACGATGGCAGACATGTATGGCATTAGCACAAGTGCCTCACTCGTTCACACCCTTGCATCCAAGGGCCGTGAGGCAAGTGCTTTGTTGTGTAGCCACCGCTGCAAAAACCTCTCTGGAGAAGTCGTGCTAAGGAATGCCCGGGTATAAGATACGAAAACTATGAATTTCTTTTAAAAATGCAACAATGATTTATGACTAAAAAGTGGTTCCCTACCGACGAACATTGCAGGGTGTAAAGGTATATGTTGTCGGTAGGGTAATGGAAAGTGTTGTTTTCTTAGAGTTTCTAATTGTTTTCATTGGATTAAAATGTGAAGAACTATTAGTGCTTCACCACATCTGTCACACAATGGTGGATCGCCACTGGACAAAAGATATGTGTGTGTCGTGTAAGTGTGTCCTATCCTGAACCTCTGTATGACGCGATTTTGATACTGGCAGCCAATGGCCAAGGTGTGGTTTAATAATGTGTAGTTTGTTTTGTCTGTGTCTATCCCACTTGCTCTGCCAGTAGACCCTGAGCTTTCGTTTGAGAGATGACTTAAGATCAAGGGCCGGGATAGATATGGGTGTAGTGGCAGTACTTTCGTGGACGGATGCAGCAAGCTGATCTGCCATCACGTTGCGTTGGATCTCACGGTGCCCTGGCACCCAGCACACTACAACATGTTGTTTGAGTGTGTAGAGTGTGCATAAAGTGGAGTAAAGTGAGATGAGGACAGGGTTTTTTTGTTTTTTAAGATTGTGCAGAGCCATTACGACACTGAGGGAGTCCGTATAAATTACTGCTTTTTGTATTTGTAATTGCTTGATGTGTTTAGCCGCCACAAGTATCGCGTAAGCTACCGCTGTGAAGATACTTGTGCCTGGATGTAGAGGGCCAGCATCCGAAAAGGATGGCCCGACAGCAGCGTAGGACACAGAGGAGTTGGACTTGGAGGCATCTGTAAAGAACTCAGGACGTGTGTATTTGTGTTGAAGTTCCATGAAGTATGTTCGGATATGGGCAATAGGCGCATGTTTTGTAACTTCTAGGAAAGACACATCACAGTCTATAGTCTGCCACTGCCACGGTGGCGGGTATGCTACAGGAGCCATTAAACTGTGTTCAAGTGACACTCCAGTTTCCTCACCTAGACCCTTCAGGGCGAACTGAGAAGGGCTGCCTCATCGAAGGCCTGTTTTGAAACAGAATGGAGCTCGACAAATCATTAATAGTAGAGTATGAGGGTTGCGTCTTGTCTGCTTTCACCTTAAGGAAATATACAAAGGACATGTAAGTTCTCTGCAGATGAAGCGACCACTCATTTGACTCAACGTAAAGGCTTTCTACGGGGCTGGTGCGAAAAGCACTTGTAGAAAGGCGGATGCCCATATGGTGCACGAGGTCCAGCATCTTCAAAGCACTTTGAGTCGCAGACTGATAAACAACGGCCCCATAATCTAAGCGGGTGCGAATGAGGGTTTTATACAGATTCATGAGGCATTGCCTGTCACTACCCCACGTAGTACGTGACAACACTTTTAAAACATTCATGGCTTTTAAACATTTAGTTTTTAAATACTTGACTAGCGGTATGAAGGTCAACTTGTCCCAGATTAAGCCTAAGAATTTATGTTCCGCATTAACAGACAGACGTTGACCGTTCAGTACAATGTCGGGCTCTGAGTGCATGCCTCTCTTTCGGGAGAACAAGACACACATGCTTTTTTGTGGGTTCAGCCGGAATCCGTTTTCCTCTGCCCATTTGGAGGCATTGATTAAACCTAACTGAACCTGCCGCTCACACATTGCCAGTTTGCAAGATCTAAAGCCAAGCTAGACGTCATCAACATATGTAAAATAAAACATATTGCGAGGGATGGACAAGTGCAAGGAATTCAATTTGATGAGAAAAAGTGTGCAGCTGAGTACACCACCTTGCGGCCCGCCTGTTTCCTGGACAAATGTTTGGGAAAGAACGCTGCCCACTCGGACACTGAATGTCCGGTTTGACAGGTACCGTATACACGCGTGTAAGGCCCGCACCTGTGTAAGGGCCGCATTCCGTTTTTAAGAAGCACGTATTAAAAAAAAAGAAAATTTGCGTGTAAGAGCCGCATTCGCTGTTTCCTTGACCCATACGTATTCAAAATGCGCGCGCGCGTGTGAGCTACTAGGCGTTGTCAGTAGATAGCGTTAGAAAATGCAATTATCATCATCACCATATAGTACGTCATTAGAATAATTTGGTGATTTTTTTCATGCTAATATGTTCATGAAGTTAGCTAAAAATTTCAAGTTTTTTCAGTAGTGTTCATACACCCGCCAACTAAAGGTTAAAGCGGGATTTTATCTTCTGACACTTCTATACAAGCGCGCCATCCATATCGGCATTAGCATCACCGACTTTGGTATTTGTGCGTTGTTCGGTTATTGTGCTTTTCAAGCCTGCCATGTGCTCGAGTTTTGCGCACCGTTGAATTGGAACTCTAGCTAGTTTTCTGCGGGACGTTTACGTTTTGGCACGATGGGTAAGCAGCTGAATAGCTATACAGCTGGCTATAAGTTGAAGGTGATCGAGTTTGCTCTCGAGCACGGGAAACGGACCGCCGGCAGAAAATACAACGTTGA